AACCTCACGTCCCCCCCCTCCCACCCCGCCCCCGTGTGGAGAGCGCGCCAGCCTTTTCTTCCCGTCGCGGTCCTTACAGAGGATTTTTTAAAAAAATCCACATCATCAGACATTTGAAATTGGTCGAGGACGTGAGCCAGCGTTTAGCTTCGATTCAGTGAGGCCTGGTCCCCCTCGTTTAAGGCCTTGAGTTGCAGAGTGAGGTCGCCCTGTGTCTCTAAATATAGTTCTGAGGCGCGGCTGGAGAGGGATAGTGTGGCCCTGGGGGTGGGGGGGAGCAGCTGCCCCCACACAAAGGGCTCAGAGCTGCCTTGTTCTCCAGCTGAAGGAGCAGGAACGACTTGAGAAGCTGGTGGTTTTGCTGTTTGGCTTTCCCACACCTACAGCTGCAGTTGGGGCAGTTTCCACTCTGCCTCTGCTTCTCTGTTATTTTCCAGGAAATGGTTGGTCACTGGAGGGAAGTGGCCCTGTGTGTTTTTGCAAAAATTCAGCTGCGGTGGTTGTCTGTTGAGCAGCAGGACATTGTGTGTGTGAGTAACGGGGACACGGACGCCCGCAGAGAAGCGGAACATGCGGGTCCCCGGTCTGACCTCCCCGTCGAGGCCAGAGGCTGCCCAGGCCGCGTTCACGGGCTGTTCTGGAACCTTAAACTGCATCCGGCTGCGAGTTGCTTGTGCTCATTCCCGAAGAGAACCCTCTCACCTGCCCCGCGACACACTTCAGGTTTGAGGCCTCGCCTGCCATCGGAGCATCTTTCCAGGAGAAATCGACAGGAAAGCCCCACGCTGCCGCGGGCACCTGTAAAGGGAGGCCACAGCGCTCTGAAGTGCCGTTTATGTGGCATGTGACCTTTGACTGGAGAAAGGGTTTTATTTGAACATGACATTTATGTCCATTTTAGAAGCTAGGAGTGCCTGGCAGTTCCCCCAGGAGGGGCCGGCTGGAGCATCCCCTGTCTCCTCTCTCTCTCTCTCTCTCTCTCTCTCTCCCTCTCTCTCTCCCAGGACATGGGGACATGGGGTGGGGGAGTTAGGACCCAGCTGACCCACTCCCCTCTCTAGCCCTCTGTCCCCTCACACCCCTCTAGGCCATCATTTCTTTCATATATTTAGTTGATTTCAGGGAGGAGGGGAGAGGGAGAGAGCGATAGAAACATCAATGACGAGAGAACCGTTGATCAGCTGCCTCCTGCACGCCCCCCCCATTGGGGGTCGAGCCCACAACCTGGGCATGTGTCCTTGACTGGAATCGAACCTGGGACCCTTCAGTCCACAGGCTGGCGCTCTATCCACTGAGCCACACCGGTCAGGGCTGGGCCATCGTTCTTCAGGGGACATTTCATAGGGAGGGAAGGGAGGAGGGCTGCGGGCCGGGGCGGGGAAGCACCCTCGGGGCCCGAGCTCCTATGTCCAAAGCTGCCCCTTCCTCCTGCGGGAGCAGACAGGACGGCCGGATGGACGGATGGATGGGTTGGGCTGCAGAGGAAGCAACAGGGAGTGACCAGCGCCACCCCCAGCACTGAGAGCGTGGCCCCCAGAACCAGAAGCTGGTGACCCTCCCGGCCCCTGGCCCCGCCTGCCAAGGCCTCCGGGGTCTTGCCTCCCCCTGGATAACAGGCCCGTCCAGGAAACAGTCTACAAATAGCGATTCTCCCGCTAGGCTCCCGGGACCACCTGGGTCCCTCCCACTCAGACCCGCATTTCAGCTCAGAGCGCAGGGCTGCTGCTGGCTGGCGGGGCCGCATGACGAGTGACCGGGCCCACATGCTCCGCCGCTGTGACCTCGGGAGCCTGTATGAAGCAGTGTGTCTGCAGACACGCCACACATGCTCACGCACGCACTTACCAATACACACAATAAAAAACCTACCAGCACACACTGCGATTTCTTTCTCTTCTTACTGCTAATGTGTGACTCCGTGTGTTACACGGGTTGCCTGCAGTTCCTCTGCAGTCACCTCAGTCCTACATGCCCTGAGCAGCAGAGCCCCCGCTTGTCAGGGGGGACCCAGGAAAGGACCTGAGACCCCCCAGGTGAGGCCCTGAGACCCCCAGATAAGGACCCTGAGACCCCCCAGGTGAGGGCCCTGAGGCCCCCCAGGTGAGGGCCCTGAGACCCCCCAGGTCCCAGGTGAGGCCCTGAGACCCCCCGGTGAGGGCCTGTGAAACCGGGCGGCTAGCTTGTCAGCTGGGAGGTGGTTGGGGTCTCACCCTCCACGGTGACGCTGGAGTCGGCTCCGTGCACGCGCAGCATAACCAGGAAATGGGTGCTGGTTCCCGAGTGGCATGGCGTTCACATGGCCACTCGCAGGTGGGCACGGCAGCGGCCCTTGTCGCCATGGCTGTGATGCCATGTGTGCGCAGATGCTGTGGGTGGCGGGTGTGAATGACGCCCGTTCCTCCCTGTGACATGCCGCTCGCTCTGCCAGCTTTGAAATCATGTGCCGCCCTTTTCTTCGTGGCTCTGGGGTCTCGCACAGCCCCTGTGGCGGGCAGCCTGAGACCCGAGGGCCCTGCCTCCTGGCGTGGTTCCCGCCCCTCGGGTATGGCAGGACCTGGTGACTCTGCTAAGGAATATAACATGCCCAGGTGAGGGCATGGCGCCCCCAGTGACATCCCACAGCACTGACCCCCGAGTTACCGCCTCTCAGCATCCGTCCAGGCCCCGGTTCTGGGGAAAGCCAGCTGCCCAGCTGTGAGGTCAGGGCTGGCTCTGCCCTCCTCATAGGCATCTGTCCCCACCCCAGTCTTCACATCCGCCCTCTGCATGACTTTGTCCCAATCTCTTCTTGGAAATACAGCTATCACCCTGGCTGGTGTGCTCAGTGGATAGAGCACCTGCCTGAGGACTGAGGGTCCTAGGTTCGATTCCAGTCAAGGGCACGTACCCTGGTCCTGGTTGGCATGTGCGGGAGGCAACTAATCGATGTGCCTCCCCCTCTTCCTTCCTCTCTGAAATCAATAAAAATATGTTTAAAGGGAAAAAAAAGAAAGACAACAATCCTATTGGATGTGGGCCCACCTTCATGTCCAAGTTGAACATGATCACCTCTCTAAGAGCCCCCCTCAAATACAGACACAGGGTTAGGTGAACATGCCAGACACAAAGGAGAACATAATACAGGATTCTGTTTATATGAAGTTCAAAAACAAAGTCAGCCCTAACCGGTTTGGCTCAGTGGATAGAGCATCGGTCTGTGGACTGAAGGGTCCCAGGTTCGATTCTGGTCAAGGGCACGTACCTTGGTTGCGGGCACATCCCCAGTAGGAGATGTGCAGGAGGCAGCTGATCAATGTTTCTCTCTCATCGATGTTTCTAACTCTCTGGTATCCCTCTCCCTTCCTCTCTGTAAGAAATCAATAAAAAATATTTTTTAAAAAATAAAAGTGTTAATGTTGCCCTACCCGGCTTGGCTCAGTGGATAGTGTGTTGACCTGCGGACTAAAGGGTCCCAGGTTCAATTCCGGTCAGGGCACATGCCCGGGTTGTGGGCTCCATCCCCATTCGGGGGCATGCAGGAGGCAGCCAATCAATGATTCTCTCTTACTGATGTTTCTATCTCTCTCTCCCTCTTCTTTTCTCTCTGAAATGAATAAAAAATATACATATTTTAAAATGTCAGCGTTAGCCCTGGCCAGAGTGGCTCAGCTGGTTGGAGCGTCTTCCCATACCCCAAAGTGTCGCCACTTTGGTTCCTGGTTCTGGCACGTGCCCAGGTTGGGATTTCGATCCCCAGTCCGTGCAACAGGTGGATGTTTCTCTCTCACGTTGATGTTTCTCTCTCTAAAAATAAAAATAGAGTTTTCAATAAAAACATATTTTGAAAATTAACAAATGAAAGGTCAGTGTTAAAATTCTGGCAATATCCCGGAAATTACGCACGCCCTTAGCGACAAGTTAAACTTACATCTGTAAGCTGCGCGCTCACCTAAGAGCGTGGGAGACGGTTCACAGGTTTCAAGTTGCTCAGGAGGGCTTCAGCAGACACCCGGCTCCTAAATCACCACCTCCAGGAGGCCAGGGGAGGGGAAGGGACGTGCCCAGGACAGAACATCCTGTCCCCCCACTAGGGGGCAGAGCCGGCTAGGGGAGGAGGAGCTGCTGGTTGTGGAACCTTCCAGGGCGAGGTGTGCAGACCGGGTCTGCAACCCCCCAGAGCCCACGGCAAAGCCTAGGTGGCCGGGGTCCCAGGGACCTGCTCTCCAAGGCTCCCCTTGGGGAGGGGTCCCCCTCCCAAGAGCTTGCTCTGTGGCCATGGTTGCCTCATAGTGTCCAGGACACTCA